CTGGCTCTGTCCATGTCTCCATGGGTCTCTGTATATCCAGGTGGTGGGCTTATCATAAAAAAAGAAGGTATTACAAGCAAACTGGTCCTTACTGCCAACTCTGTGCATCACTTACCCAGTACTCCTTGTCTGTAATTGGTCTCAGTGTAATTGGAGCCTGGACACCATGCCAGTGGACCTGTCTCTCACTGTAGTGAGCATTATTACATTGCTCCTTCCTCCTTGACCCTCTTCTCTTTTATTCATCCTTTTGAATAAAAATCATCCTTGCCATGTTGTCTCATTATTCAGTGCATTTTAAAAAATATCTTTTCATTTTGTGTGTGTGTGTGTGTGTGTGTGTGAGGGAGAGAGAGAGAGAGATTAATGAAGAGTACCCACGGAAGGACAAACTTGAGATGGGAGTCTCTTCCTGTACAATCTGGGTGGTAGGGAAAACCAGCTGTAAATCACAACAGGGTTTACATCTCCCCATCCGGGACAGAAGCCTCTTCCTTTTTACCTGTTCTAGAGCTCAAAGCTTGTTCTTTTGTTTGCTGGGATGTAGAGAGGCTAAAAACTCCATTCTCACAGAGCAGGGGAGGAAGGTACATCTGAAGATGTCTGGCCCAGTCTGCATCCAAATCCTTCTTGGATACTATTCATAGCTCGTGCCCTCTGGCCAAATGCTGGTAGTTCAGTCCTTTCCTGCTAGGTTCTGCTCAATTTGATCTTAATGTAAAACTTTCTTCCTTTTGTCTTTTTTTTTTTTAAATCAAATCCTACCCATTCTTCTAGGGAGCTCTCATGGCCTAGTGGTCAGAAGCTGTGATGCCTTTTCAAAGCCACATGACTTGAATTCCCCAGCTGCTCCATGGGAGAGAGATGGGCAGTCTCCACCCATGCTATTTACTGCCTCTGAAAACCTGCTAGAGGGTGCGACTTAATGAAACCTAACAATGACAACAATCCATTCTCCTAGACTTGACTCAGACCTCAACTACTCAACAACTCTTCAGTCATTGCTCAGTCAGCCTTATGACATCTAACTCATTTTACTTGGTAACTTGCTCCCTGGCTGGAGTACCAGAAACAGGACTTGAGAAGCAGGGCATTTCCCTGCTATGCCTGGAATAATGCTTTCCTTCCCTTAACAGATTTGTGATTAATCCTATGATGTGATTGCTTGATTGTTAGAAAAGAAGTGAGAAAGGATCAATATTTCATGGGAGCTGGTTAGAGTTGTATTTAGAGGTCTCTGGGAAAAAAAGAAATTATCAGTGTCTCCTGTTTTCCTATTTACACTTGAGACCTAGTCTGAGTATCACTGGAGATTAGGTGCCTCTTTGACACACAGCCCTACCTTTTTCCCTTCTGGGATTTTGAACTATAGTTATTGCAGTAGCGTCAATTAGCAACATGCAATTCCCTCCCATAATTCTGTGATCTAGGTGAGGGAGATGCAAAAATGTCAGGCATAAGTGAAAATTGTTCTAGGTACTCCTTACCAAGTCTGGTTGGGGATGAATATTTTCCTCCCTTTATCACGTTTGAAAAGCAGAGCTGCTTTCATAATAGAGACTTGTTTCTGGAGATGAAATACAAGACATCATAAAGGAGTGGAGAGAGAAAATAACCTGAGTGCTTTACAAGGGAGAGTTTATTGGATCAATGCTGCTTTGTCTTATTACTCTGTATTTTCCCCAAATGACCTGTGTTTCTTTGAATCACTGTGATCTTGATTTCAATAGCCAGAACAAGGCTATATTAAAAGCTTTAGCCTGGGCAATGAGTCACTTGTTTGTCAAACAAGACTCTTCTACACTTTTTACAGTCAATAACATATCAATTTACTTTTTCTGAGCCAGATTATTCCCAACTAACTCCCACTATCAGATTGGTTAGATAGATGGTCCCTCCTTTTTATATCCTTGTTGTTTTTGTTGAAATAAACTCACAGCCAATGCTCTAGTGGGCTTTCAGAGATAGGAAACACCATGGTAGGAGATTTTCCTTCCTTCTCCCGTGAAACAGCTGGTAGATTCAAACTGCCTGCCTTTGGATTGGCAGCACAATTCTTTACCACTAAGCCACTACAGTTCCCTTTATATTTCATTAGCATATATGTGTACACACACACACACATTCACTCTCCAATTGCAATTGAATTGTCTCCAATTTGTGGCAATTCCACTTAAGTCAGAATAGAATTGTGCTCTGCAGGGTCTTTGTGGCTAAATTTTTTGGGTCTCAGCACTGGGCCAATCGGCAATACCATGATAGATGGAGAAGAGATTGAGGTTGTTAACAATTACAACTTGCTTAGCTCCACAATCAACAATTTTGGCACCAGCAGTCAGGAAATCAAAAGACAAATTACACTGGGAAAATTTGCTGTCAGGGACCTCTCCAGAGTGCCAAGAAGTAACAATGTCAGCCTAGAGGCTAAGGTGTGCCTAATCCAGGTTATTGTCTTCAAATTTACTTGCTATGCATCAGAGAGCTCAATAGTGATTAAGGATGATAAAAGAAGAATTGATGCCTTTGAGTTGTGGTGCTAGAGAAGAATCTTGGGCATACTATGTACTGCCAAGAAAATAAACAGGTCTGTCATGGAGAAGGTGAAACCAAGTTTCTCCTTGGAGGCTAGGATTTTGAAGCTCCATCTCACATACTTTGAGCATGTGGTCAGGATGGACTGGTCCTTGGAGAAGGACATCATGCTTGGAAGGGTAGAGGAACACATATATATGACCAGAATGCAAAAGTTGGGAACAGGGAAGAAGGTTCAGTAGCTGGATGACATGGACTCATTGACAAAAATGAGGCTGGAGATAAAATGATAGAATTCTGCACATTAAATGATTTATTCATTGCAATACCTTTTATAAGAAACACAAATGCAGCCTATTTCCCGTTGAACAGATAGTGGTTGCAAACCACATACCTGTGGAATAACACTACAACTATGAGAGACACAGAGAGAGAGAGATGGATATGGATATGGATATGGATATAGATATCTTGGAGAAAGTGTGCAGCCAGACTATTTCTTGGAGACAAAGATGACAGAGCTTGGACTCACATACTTTGGGCAGTTAAGAGAGGTTATTTCTTGGAGAAGATATCATGTTTGGAAAAGTAGATTAGTGAAGGAGAGGAAGACCCTCAACAAAACAGATTGATACAGTTACTATAGCAATGAGCTTAAGTGTGTAGGAAATGGTGAGGATAGCCCAGGGTAGGACAAGGTTCAGATCTATCACTATGAGTCATAATCAACTCAATGACCCCTACTAACAACAACATATAAATACATATGTGTGTGTGTGTGTGCTTGAATGCCTTTGCATTCTCAATAAAACAAGGAAACATGTTTTGGGATACTGTGCTTTCATCCAAGGTCTATCTGAGACCTCTATGCTTCACTGCATGTCTTGTTCTGAATACACTTTGAATTTGTGGCACCATAAAAGGAGGTTGTATATCTTTCTCCTGATAGATTCAAACCTGTACAGAGGAACCACTTTGTGTTAGCAGCACCACTTCCTATGGACTACCCATCAAATGTCCTCAGGACCCATCTGACATAAGAAATGTTATCCCTTTTTCCACCACTTCTTCTGAATCCAGCTTGAATTTCTGGAAGTTCTCCAACAGTTTCCTAACCCAGTCATATTTGAAAGATCTTCAATAAGATTTTACTTGCATGAGATAGTGGCGCTATTCCTTGATATTTTGCAAATTCTATGGGATCACATTTTCTATAAGAGATGGAGAAACGTATCTTTTCCCATTAGTTGGTCAGGTAGCTATCTTTGAAATTTCTTGGCACAGACTGAGTATGAAGTTGTCATGTGCCATTAAGTCAAGTATGACCCATAGCGACAAAAGATCCTGTCCTACCTTGTGGCATCCTCACTCCTCCTGAAATACTTGAGCCTATTGTGGCAGTCACCATATGCATCTACTTTGTCAAGGATCTACCTCTTCTTCAACAACCCTGTACCATTCTGAGCAAGAAGAGTATTAAGTAGGTGGGCAATATTGTGCAATCAAGGAGAAAACTGTAGACCATGGTTAAGGTGCACGATTGCTTATTGAGCAGTTGGAATTTGAAGGTGACACAGAGGAGCATCAGAAATTTGGTTGATGATCTACTCCTATGAAATCAACCTTTAAAAAAACATTGTGGAGCCTAGCTCCACGCTGACTGGTGTAGGTTGGTAAAAGGTGGCGTAATCTCAAAGTGATATGATTTTAACTGATCACCAACAACTGTTTACTGAATCTCTTTAGTCTACTCCATATAATGAATAAGCTTGCCCTCTTCTGTGATAAACAATGTCACTTGGCAGCCTGTTTTATAATTGGAAGTATCTGGAAATATGTTAGTTGATAAGTTATAGGAGGATTTCCCCCTAAGACCATTAAATAAGAACAATATTTGATTGCTTTAGTGCCTCTGAAGACAGAGCTCTGGTGGCCTAGTGGTTAAGAGCTGCACTGTAATCCTGAAGGAACACAGTTCAAATCCACCAGCTGTTGGTGAAAGGAGAAAGATGGGCAGTATTCACCCTGTGTGATAAAACTGCCTCTGAAAACCATAGTGGTGTGAAGAAATACCACAAGTGATGATTTTAAGAAGGAGAAATTTATTCTCAGGTTTTAAAGGCTACAAGTTCGCATATCAAACACCACCTCAAGGAGAAGGATTTCTCCCTAAGGAAAGGTCCTCGCCAATGGTCCAAAACTTAATGTAAGTAGTGGAAGTGAATCCTCATGACAAAGTCTTGTGAAACATCACAACTCCACTGTTCCGCAGATGAAGGTCTTAAGTGGTGGCTTGAGAAGGCATGGCACAAGGGGGTACAGTTTCATCAGACTTCAAACCAGAGCATGATCATATCGTATTTAAAGGTCGTGAAACTCTCATGCATCCAGGTCGGTGGCCCTAATTCCTGCAGGAGCAGCCTCAGCTCAGCCAGATATCCTTGAAAGCAGCCCTGGTGTACATCACCTCAGAAGTCCCTGTAGCAGTCCAGTGGAATGGGAAGCACAAGGAGTGTTGACTTTGGAGGTGGCAGCATCTGTCTCAGCCGGCTCTCCAGTCCAGCACTGGTTACCGGATTTCTGTAGAACCTGAAGTGCTGCAGTCGGGAGCAGAGGCTTAGAGCAGGCAGGATGGCGGTGAGCTGGGAGTCCGAGATCCTACACCAAGATAAGTCCAGGTATTCCAGGCTGGCCCAGGCTGTGCTTAGTAGAATTCTGAGCCCATCAGGATCTATGTCACTGAGGATGACTCTGCTCAAATCCAGGGATCTTAGGTGGCTGGTGCCAGGGCATAAGGACAGGTGTATAAGGTCCAAGTCCAACAGCAAGCAATTTGTGATGCACAGGGTCTGCAAGCGGGTGTCCAGGTATCTGAGTACCTTGCCCAGGTGTCCGTGCAAGAAGTAAACAGAATCCAGGTGAATATGCTGGAGTTGATTCAGACGGAGGAACTGAGATATGGGCTGAATGAAGACACTGTGCATCTCGTGCAGAGTCTGAGAATTTTGTGGATCTGTGATGATTTCACTGAGGTGGAGTCTGTTCAGATGAACCATCTGACCCAGGTAAGGAACAATCCTGGCCGGGTTCAGTGGCTCCTTGATGCGCTTGATTTCGACCTCCTGAACTCTGTGAAGCTGAACCTTTTGCAGGATCTTCTCCATGATCGGATATGGTGGTTGCTTCTCCACAAATGTCAGCTTCCTACAGCAAAGCAGGGGCAACACTTTCCCCTCCTTGACCCTTCTAATGAGGAAGGAGAGAACATGATCTGGGTAAGCTTCCTTGAAGCACAGATCTAACACCAGCTCTACACTGGCCAGGGATTGCTTCTCTTCTGAACTTGGATCCTCCATTTTCCTTCTCTTAGTTCTAGGCTCAATCACCTCTGGCTTGTCTGAGGAGTTTCCAGGATTCCAAGAATGGATTCCAGGCTCTACTTTCCAGAAGTCCTTAGAGTTTTCTCTTAGATCCAACACTTTCAGTTTCTATCTGCTGGGCCGAGTCTTCACGTCAAGGATGGCATCAAGCCCATCCAGGATAACCTTGAAGATGTCTGGGTGAGGCTGCTGCCCCTTCATCATGGCCCCCAGGGGCAGACAGGGAAAAGGCCAGGCCTGCACCATGGCCTTCAGAGTCTTGCTGTTTCCCTTGGAGATGGCCTCCGTGAAGAGAGGTGGGAAGAGTTTTGGGGACAAATACTTCAGAGCAACGATGTCCCAGGCCTGATCTCGCAAAAGGCTCTGGCTTGCGGAATTGCTTGGAGAGGAGTTGCTCATCCTGTTCAATATAAGAGGGAGGTGATCACAGGATGCCTGGCTCTGGGTGTCTTCTTACTTCTTTAGAAAAAAGTTGAAGTCCTTTCTAGTTATAGTCCTCAGCTAAAGCTGCAGCAGCAGCAGAAGATACCAGCACAAGCAAGTCAGGATGCTAACTGAAGTCTTCCAAGGTGAGCAGGCATGAGCTCAAGTCAACACTGATCTGGAGCCAAAGGGCGTCAAAGGCAGGAGAGCTTAGCCAGAGTTTGTTTTTATACTCTAGGAAGCTACACCCACTTCAACTGATTGGTTGCTCAAAGCAGATCTCATCAGGAAATGATTGCATTCTGTCAAATCTCATTTTGGATGGGAATGCTTTAAAACCGTTCTTCTCCTGTGGGAGATTATGTTTTCATCTGGTATTATTGTGGACTTGGTTAGAATAATCATGGAGATAAAATGCATTCTAGATCTTATCATTAAGGGATTAGAGGACAACCGTCCTCATGATGGTGAAAGATCACATTTTAATTGCAAAACCACTGAGTATCACAGACCAATCCAAGCGACACACAACCTCAACCACAAGCCCAGTAGCCATTTTGTCTCTAACCTACATATTTTAGGTTGTTGTTGTTGTTGTTATGTGTCGTCGAGTCGTTTGCGACTCATAGCGACCCTGTAGCCCTAAACTCTGCTCTGTGATGTGCCAATCTCATTGTCTCAGACACACCCATCCCGATTACCCCAGTCACCGAGTCAATCTACCTCATAGAGGGCCTTCCCCTCCTGCACCTGCCCTCCACCCTCCCAAGCATGATGTCCTTCTCCAAGGACCGGTCTCACCTTACAACCTGACCAAAGTATGTCAGACGAAGCCTCAGAATCTTTGCCTCCAAGGAGCAGCCCGGTTTAACCCTCTCTAGGATGAATATGTTTGTTCTCTTAGTAGTCCATAGTACTCCCAATACTCTTCTCCAGCACCACAGCTCAAAGGCATCAATTCTCCTTCTATCCTCCTTAGTCATTGTCCAACTCTCTGATGCATAACAAGTGATTGCAAAGACCATAGCCTGTATCAGATACACCTTAGCCTCCAGAGAGACACCACTGCTCTTTAGTACTTTGGACATTAAGCCTCAATCCATATTGAAGGCTGCAGTCCTTGACGCTCTGCAGCAAGTGCTTCAGGTCCTCCTCAGTTTCAGCAAACAGGGTTGTGTCATCTGCATAACGCAGATTGTTGATAGATCTTCCACCTATCCTGATGCCACATTTCTCCTCATAGAGCCCAGCCTCCTGGATGATCTGTCCTGCAAACAGGTTGAAAAGGTATGGAGACAGGACACATCCCTGGTGTACACCCTTCCCAATTTTGAACAATGCAGTGTTTCCTTGCTCTGTTCTGACAACTGCCTCTTGGTTCAAGTATAGGTTTTGCATTAACATGAACAAGTGTTCTGGGATATCCATTCTTCTCAGAGTCAGCCACAGTTTGTTATGATCCACACAGCCTTTGCATAATCAATGAAACACAGATAGACATTCCTCCAGTACTCTCTGCTTTCAGCCAAGATCCATCGAACATTAGCTACTATATCTCTAGTACCATGACCCCTTCTGGACTTCTGGCAGTTCTCTGCTGATGTGCTGTTCCAGTCGTTTTTGGATAATCTTCACCAGAATCTTGCTTGCATGGGAAATCAGTGATATTGTTCTATAGTTTTCACACTCTGTTAGGCCACCTTTCTTTGGAACAAGAACAAATAAAGATCTCTTCCAGTCAGTGGGCCTGATATTTTAGGTAGCATAAATAAACAAACAAGCAAACAAACAAAACATGAAATGGGCAAAGAGTGATTAATTTCAGAGATGATTCCATCCACTTACATTTCTTGAATAAAAATTTGGTGATGTCATTTGGATGTTTAGAGTTTCAAATCATTCCCTGTGGTAAAGCAACAAAGTTAGTGGAAACACTAGGGACTTGTTTGGAAGTTTGTTGACACAGTATCTACAAGAATGGTTTTAAACATGATAGACACTCATGAGCTCTGGTGGCTCAGTGGATATGGAGTTCTGCTGCCAGTCCCAAGGCAGACAGTTCGAAAACCCCAGTTCTTCTGCAGGAGAAAGATAGACAATCTCCTCCCATGTGATGCTTAGCCTCTGAAAATCCATTGGAAGGTCAGTTACGAGTTGGTTCCAACTCAACAGCACAGAACAAAATCAACAGAGATGCATGAAATGGTTGGGCATTTCCACAATTTGTCATGATGGTAATAAGTACACTAGAAGTGTTCTGTACAGATGTATAGAGAATATTTTGGTAAATTATATGCCACTTCACTTTTCTCAACTGTGTTTGTGTAGCATTAGAAAAGCTACCCTCTTTTTGAATAATATTGCATGAGTTCCTTGTTTTTCAATGCAACTTAGTATTCTGTTGTGTGAATATACCACAGCTTCTCTATCCATTTGTTTGTTGATGGGCATTTAGGTTGTTTCCAACCCCTTGCTGTTGTGACCAAAGCTGCAATAAACATGGGTGTGCATATATCTGCTTAGATGTCAGTTATGGTCTCTTTGGGGTATATTCCCAGTAGTGGAATTGCTGGGTCGAATGGTATCTCTATTTGCAACTTTTGGAGAAAGCACCATACTGCCTTCCACAGTGGTAGCACCATTTTACACTCCCAGCAACAATGAATAAGGGTTCCAGTTTCTCCACAACCCTGCCAGCATTTGTTGCTTGATGTTCTGTTAAATTTTGCTAGTCTTACTTGGGTGAGATGATATCTCATAGTTGTTTGGATTTGTATCTTCCTTAGAGCTAGGGATTTTGAACATTTCTTCATGTGCTTGTTAGCCATCTGAATGTCTTATTCAGTGAAGTGTCTGTTTATATCCTGTGCCCATTTTTCTATTGGATTATGGGTGACCCTGGAGGATATTATGTTGAGTGAAGTATCTCAGTCACAAAAGGACAAATACTGCATACTGCCACTATCGTAAAGCAGGACTGACCTTGGGGTTTGGAGGAAACTGAGAAGGATGGGTTCAATAATGTATACTGCATTGAAACAGATGTGGGAGAAAACTGTTTAAGAGGGATAAGTTATTAGGTATTTTTGCCATGACAGGAGTCCAGAGCTAAGGCTGTATAGTGGAGTGGACCTCGGGGGAGGGATTGTAAAACAATGAAAGAATTTTTCTTTTACTTTTCCAAGAGAGTCGTGTACTGGGGGAGTGGGGGTTTGGAAGGGGAGAAAAGTGCAACAATGAATGAATGGAAATCCAAAGTCTCTGTAAATTTTCATTGACATCAATAGTAAATAATAAAAAAAAAAGGAAAGCCACCCTCTTTGACAGACCAAGTGCTTGTTTCTAAAGAAAGAGGTCATTAACCCCCAGAAAGTTTCCATCTCTGTGGTTTTTCCTGTCAAGCACCATCAACTCCAGGGGCTGTTTTACAAACTCTGGAGATATTTTGGTTCTCCCTGCTCTTCTAGAGTACTGTGGCATCTACGATTCAGAGATAATCACCTACCGTGTGCTAGACAGATCTCAGTAGAATAAGAGTCATCTGTTTCCAAATACCAATAATGCCAATGTTGACAAATCTTGCTATAGATGACTTGTCCACATTTGAGAATGGGAAAGACATAAAGAAAAGACTTCTTGAAAATTATACTGCCTTTTATGACTATTGACTGTGGTTCAGAATATAAAACTTAAGTGCCGTTGAATCATCTATGACTCATAGAAAGTCTGTGAACAGTGGATTTGAACATCTCTGACACACTCAAGCCCACTGTTAAAATCACTGTGTAGAATCCAAATAACCTTTGTCCTTGACTTCCCTTTCTACTTCCTCTGCCTATGTGAATGTGGCATCAGGATTGGAGGAAGACTCATCAGCAACTTATGTCATGCAGATGGCTTAGCCTTGCTTGCTCAAACTGAAAAGAACCTGAAGTGATTGTTTCAGAAGGTCAAGGATCATAGTCTTCAATGAATTGAAGTTCAACATCAAGAAAGCAAAGATTCTCAACATTGGGCCAATTGGTAGCACCATGATACATGGAGAAGTGATTGAGGTTGTTAACTATTAGAGATCTCTTGGCTCCAAAATAAACTTTTCAGCAGTCATTAAAAATCAAAAGATGAATTGCACTGGTAAAAAATCAGGTGTCAGGGACCTTCCCAGAGTCCTGAGAAGCAATGATGTAAATATACAGACTAAATTATGCCTAATCCAGGCCATGGTCTTTACAATTACTTGCTATGCATCAGAGAGCTCAATAGTGATTAAGGATGATAAAAGAAGAATTGATGCCTTTGAGTTGTGGTGCTAGAGAAGAGTCTTGGGCATACTATGTACTGCCAAGAAAATAAATAGGTCTGTCATGGAGAAGGTGAAACCAAGTTTCTCCTTGGAGGCTAGGATTTTGAAGCTCCATCTCACATACTTTGGGCATGTGGTCAGGATGGACTGGTCCTTGGAGAAGGACATCATGCTTGGAAGGGTAGAGGAACACATATATATGACCAGAATGCCAAAGTTGGGAACAGGGAAGAAGGTTCAGTAGCTGGAT